TTTGTTTTTAGTCCTCGTTTTAGTCCTCAAAACGTTCGTTTTTTCGACTAAAACGAACGTTTTTTAAAGATTGAGGACTAAATTGTACCTTACTTTGAAAGAGGGACGAAAACCAGAAACGGTCAATAGTTTAGGGACTAAAAACATATTTAACCCAATAATTATTAATTTATTAAGCAATGAGATGCAGTAGTAGTGGGAAAATTTAAGAACATGAAACTTAATATAATAAAAAGAATTAGTGGATTTGACAGTTAGAAAAAAAGAAAAAAATAAAATTGAAAACCATTAATACGGAAGGGAGAGAAAAAGCTAGACACATTAGAGGAGAGAGGAGTAAAAGTACTGATTCATTCGCCACGTCAGTATGAAGTTAATGTCGCCAACTTAACGGAAATGACTTTATTCATACAATTTTCACAACTTTAGAATCCAATCTATGGACTTTTAAACCTGGGTACTAAATTTAAAAAAATCACTCAGGACTAAGTAAACAATTAAGTCTTTATTCAAAGAATGGTCGACAGTTAATTTGTCATCTAATGAGGAGCCCACCTAGAGGGACGATCGGGGTTACGTTGACGATGGGTTGTCATCATATGTTTCTTCTTCAATTTTAGGATCAATCAAGTGGTTCGTCAAACTCGGTCGACGGAGTGAATACCAGTGCACCAACACCCACTATCTATGTCGAAGCAAATGTCGCGTTGGAAATTGACACCTCAAATGAAGGAGAGATACTTGCACGATCCCTCCTGGACATTGCGGATTATGATTGGGAATCTCATGAGGTGGGGGAATATGTTACTTGTTTTCGGATGGAAAATCAATTACAAGGGTGGACCTATAGGTGTTGTTTCGTTAAGACTCCTGAGGATGGTCAAAGCTTTAACCTCATCTCCTGCACAGGAAATGAATTAGTATATAATGGGAAGGAAGATAATCCTAAGGATTTCTTCTATATGTATTGTTACATTTTCAAAGAATTTTTCATTTGTCTCCCATTCGACAACGTCCAGATGTGTGTTCTTCATGAGCTTAATGTGGCGCCTACTTAACTTCACCCTAATAGTTAAGCTTTCATGGAAGCCTTCATTTTTTTGTATGCGACGCTTCGCGTCACTTGCACCCTTGCCATTTTCTTGCATTTTTTCTACACTCGTCTGAATGCGAGGAGAAGGTAGGTGTCCCTCATCTCTAAAAAAAGGAAGTGATTGTTCACTCTATATGTCACTTCCTCTAAAAGATTTAAGAATAAATACTTCAAAGTTGGAGTGAAAGATGATTTTATCCCAAAAAAAAAAAAAAAAAAAAAAAAAGATGATTTTATCCCAAAATATATTTCTTCATGGTATCAGAGCGGTAATCGTATCCTGAACCATGACCTCATCCAGTCAATCATCCTTCACCACTACCCGCGAGAACTCGTCCTCAACCGGATCTTCCCTTAGCCAAATCGCTATGGATTCCTTCACTCCGCAAATTACAAACCATAAACTCTCTGGTCACAATTATCTTTCGTGGTCACAATCCGTTCGTATGTTCATTCGCGGATCCGTTCGTATGTTCATTCGCGGAAAAGGAAAAGATGACTTCCTTACCGGTGCATCCATTCAACCTGCTGAAACAGATGCTTCATACAAAAATTGGATTGCAACGAACAATATGGTGCAATCATGGCTCATCAGTTCAATGATGCCCGATATTGGAGAGAATTTCTTGCTTTTCTCCACTGCAGCGGAAATTTGGGAAGCCGCCAAGTTGACCTATTCGATTGCAGATAATACCTCTGAACTCTTTGAGACCGAGACCACTCTACATGATCTCCGACAAGGTGATAACTCTGTCACTGATTATTTCAATTCATTAACTCGATTATGGCAGAAAATCGATTTATACGACACTCATTCATGGAAGTGCTCCGAAGATGCCCTCACATACAAACGGGTTGTTGAAACGAAGCGAGTTTTCAAGTTTTTATCAGGTCTCAATAAAGAACTCGATGAGGTGCGAGGACGCATCATTAGCACCAAACCGTTACCCTCTTTACGTGCTGCCTTCTCTGCTGTCCGACACGAGGAGAGTCGGAGAAAAGTTATGTTGAAAGAACAGATTGTAGAAGCGCCAAACGAAACCTCAGCGTTGAATTCAGTTGATTCCAACGCCTTCGCAGCAAAGGGCCAAATCGACAACAGACCACGCAAAGGCAGGCCATATTGTGACCATTGTCGTCGTCCGGGTCACTCACGAGAAACGTGCTGGAAAATCCATGGCAAGCCGCTTGACTGGAAACCTTTCAGACCCACAGGAGATTCATCAAATCGCACTGCCAATGCTTCCGTTACAACACCTGCTTTCAACAAGGAACAAATGGAAATTCTTCAACGACTTATGAGTGGAAATCATTCCACGACACCTTCGGTCCAAGCCAACACTGTCATGCACGAAAATAGTGAGCATAAAGCCCTCCTCACCTCCGCCGACAATCTTTCATGGATTGTTGATTCTGGCGCATCAGATCATATGACTGGTAACTTGTCTCTATTCACTACATTGAATTTGTGTACTTCGATTGCCACTGTGACAATTGCCGATGGAAGCAAGTCACCGATAAAGGGAGTTGGAACTGTTAAACTTTCTGAAAAACTCACATTGACTCAAGTTTTTTACATTCCTGATCTTAAGTGCAACCTCTTGTCAGTGTCAAAATTAAATAAGGATTTGAAATGCTTAACAGTATTTGAAAGCAATTTGTGTCTGTTTTAGGAGCGGGAGTCAGGAACGATGGTTGGATNGTTTACCTCTCGGCCAAGAGGGATTTTACCTCTTGGTTGAGAGGAGTTTACCTGTCGGTCGAGTGGGATTTATCGTTTGGTCTTTGTCTTCAAACTCTTCCTGAGAGACGATCGTTCACGATGACGATTTGGACTGCGACTATAGCTCCTAGGGACGGTGGCTTTCCTTCGGTTATCTTAATTGTCCCGTTGATGGACCAATCACATGGCTATGAAGGTTAGGGATCAGTTGATGAAAGATAACTGTATACACCATTTCTTTTAGCGGCTGCAACTAAGAATAAATGGTGGACAAAAACATTGACATTAGCTATGTCACAAATTTAAGATTCATGTCCCAAATTTAATGATATGTAAATATCAATTTTTAGAGAAGTCCATGTGCTCATCTGCTTTTTAGTTTACCGCCCGGCAAAGTCACGACCTGAAAGTTCCTAACAAGGTTGAACGTAAGACTTGAACCTTCCTGACAAGGTTGGACGTAGGGCTGAATGTTCCTGAAATTTCTCAAAACAAAAGACATGCCTTTAGAAATTATTATGAAATTTTGTACTCTTGTTGCAAAACCTGGTATTGATCCGAAGTAGCAATGTCGAGGCCGAGTCCATGTCTACACGTCTGGTTCCTCGTGGTTTCATGGGGATGTCGCTCGGCCCCACGGAGGGCGCCAAAATGTTTCGATTGAATTTGTCCGAGGGTTGGTCGTCCTTCTTTGCTCTGCTCTATTTTGATTGTCCAATGCTCTCCGAAAACGTAATCCACTTTGATGGGTGGTTGACCTGCAGAAGACACTTCGACGCTCAAGTGAGATATGTTTCATAAAGAGGTCTATGTTTTATTAGGATAGAAAAAGGATATCTGTACCTGGATACCAATTGTATCGATTGTATATTTATAGGACTTGTGGTAGCCAAGTCCATTGATTAACCATTAGTGCAGTATATTTTTGCGCAATATAACCTGTCAATCACTCATAAATAGTGTATATTCGCATTTAATATGGCCATTAAACGTATTAATTGGTCATTAATGATATTTACCTTTCCTGATTAGTTTGTCTGACAGCCAGTCGGTTACCCGGTATAGTACAGTAAAATATCTCTTTTACCCGTGTTTGCTGACCGATTATTGTTAAGATGGCTAAATTTTTTGTTTTCTTTTAGATTTAATGGTGTCCCTCAATCAAAAAAGGGTATTTTCATGAAGATTGATACCCAAAGAGGTGCTGGTGAGGTGGGAACTCACAAAGCTTCGCATACTAAAGCTACTTAAAGTCGAGCGGTCATTGCTGCTAAGGACGTTCAAACAACCACTACAGAATATCCTCCAATCGAGAAGCCTGAAGTGTGCCCTCCTCCCCGACGGTTTGAAGCAGTTACTCTAAGTTTTGCGTATTATTCAAATTTTATTTTCATTATTTTACTTTCTACGCCCCCTAACTTAATTTATGTACCATTTAATGAAGGTAAAATGATCTTTTTGTCCCATCGGCCAAAAATACAATTAAAATATAAGTTTCTCCCATAATCTTTTTCTTAGCCATTAAACCCATATCCATTCCATCCTAAACAACATTCTTACTAATCAAATCAACACATCATATTGGTAATATCACACACACAATCAACATAACAACTATAATTTTAAGAAACATATAAGCATTATACACCAATTACCAAACAAATATATTCAAGTCTCAAAACTACTTTATTCCTTATTTACTGCATTTTCTATTCCTTATTTATACATTTTTCACAGGGTCTTACACAAAATGTGTACAACAATCAACTTCAGAATTAAATATTTTTTTATATTTTTTAAAAAGATTTGACTTTCTAGATTAAAGATATAAAAGTATAATGTACACTTATAGGGATTTTCGTGCTTTTCGTACTTCAGTTGATAATTATTTAAATTTAAGAACCACATATATCGTCTTTAGTTTTTCTTTTGAACTAAATTACTGCTTATGAATGTAAATTTTATCCAAGAATAAAATTCAAACATATATGAGTGAGATGAAATATCGAATTTGAGTTCCAGAATATAAAATATAAATAAAATTACTCGAAAGAATATTAAAAAGAACTAAATGTTGATAATCGAATAAATAATCGTGAAATTTTTAAGTAGAGATTTTGTTAACAAACATTCTGGTACTAAATTTCAGAAGAAGTATGTCTCCAAGCTTGGTGGACAAATTACTGAGCATTAATGGAATCCATCTAAATATTATTATTCACAGCGCAACATTGTTTATTTACATGGCAAGGTATAATTCAAATCTTATAAAGTTGGTTGCAGCTGATTCATATATTCCATTCCTTCCCCTTTACTTTTTCTTCTGCATTTTGGTCAAATTTTTCATTGCATTACATAGAAGACCACGTAGAAGAACCACTCCCCTTCCTCTTCAGATTACTGGATTCTTTCAGCAAGTCAAATGATGTGAATGAACGTGGAGGGACTGTCACATTCAGGTCCTTCCCAACATTCTGAAGTCCACTCTTAATTGGCACCACCTGGTTCCATAATAGAACAATCAACAAAATCCTAAGCTAATGTTTTCACATGCATCCTAAATAGCCATAAGAAATTTCCAAGTCTAGATTCTCTCCTGGATTTTATGATGATGTTCTCCACTGAATATTAACAATACAATGATGTTGGTACTTTAAAATCTTTTGAAGAAGCGGCAAAGGAACAGCATAGAGAAACCCAGTAGAGAATCCAAATTCCAAATTTCCATCTTTGTTGTGTCTTCAAAATATACTTGATGTAAATTGATTTTGATGTTTGAAAATATATCAAAACAATTTTTAATACACCAAAATCACTTTATCTTGAAGATACACGGTTTATGCAAGGAGTTACAATAATAGTGTAATAAAAGGAACAATATTTCAGAAGGGTAAATTAAAAGATGGAATATGAAAGAGTGAAGATTGAGGGTACCTTCTTTGGCTGTGAGAAGGAGTTCTCATCCATTACATTTCCAGATGTAAGCACAGTCTTTGTTGATCCAGATAACTGCAATGAATTTGGTTCTAGTCCATCAATAGAGATCTTCAGGTTCACTGCGCTGGTGCCAAAGTTCACAACCTGCAAAAGTCAAGTGATGACAGTACTAATGAAAGAATTTCCAACAAAACAAATTTAGTATGTTGGGGGGTTTTATAGGAGAAATATACTCAAAATGAGGAATAAATGCTTCTGCAAATTCAGCGTTATGCCATTAACTATAACTATGAAAATACAACTGATTCTCAAATTCTTTAAAAATTACAGAAGATTGTCTTTAAAAATACAGCGTTATGCAAAAAAACGTGTTACCTTTATTCGTATATAATTTTTGTTATCTACAGAACTTTGAAATGTTATTGCTGATGCAAGGACTGAATTGGAGGAAGAATTCGATTGAAGTGATGAACTTAGAAGTGTTGCTCCACTTGACTCTGAGAAAAATAATTGCACCCAATAGCTAGGAGTTCCATAAGCCTGATAAGAGTTGAACACAATTGCATCTGGGTTCCACCTAATGACAGAAATACAGACAATCTTAGTTTTGCCATCAACGAAGAACAATTCTACATAATTTATTAATCACCTTAGCTTATGAATTGAAACAACTTCTTCTCAGAATATTTAGAGCAATGAAATCCTCTGAAAGCACCTTTTCTTTTCTAAATTTTTGTATACATTTAGGTGGAAAAAATTTGTTCTTCAAGCAATTGTTTAGCTGAACAAAAAAAGTTAGTAATCTGCTCAACCACCCTTTTATCAGTTTACAACCATGTCTCCTTGGAGAAATCAACAAACTTTTTTGTCTATTTTATGGTGGAATCTTTTCATAAACATCTTCTACTCAGAAAAGAACATACTGCACAGTAGGCTAGACAAAAGGGCAAACAAGATGAAAAGATAATAGAAATGTCCTGGTAAAATCATTAGAATAATTACCTCCTGTCATTGGCATTAACAAAAAGTGGAGCGTAGCTGACCATTTCGATAACATCACTGCACCAGAAAGTAAAAAATGAAAATGGTGAGTACTAACTATTAAGTGGACTGGATCAGAAACTCAGATTTCATAATGCTACAACCCAAGAATAGGAAAGGAAAAGAAAGATTTCAATGCTTTTCAGCTTTGGTTTGGGAAAAAGTGCAAGATTTCAAGTTTGACCGTTGTATAAAATAACATCATAAGATGTCTGAGTAAACCTGTTCTTTTCGAGTCCAATAAGGAACCCGGCTTCAGCTAGGGCTGCCAAAAGGCTTCCCGTTCCAGCATCTTTTCCAGTCACAGCATATTCACTTACAAAAGCCTGTAAAAGTGTCCAAAATAGATTGAGTACAAATGGAAATGCCAATAACTAATTAAAGAGAAGAGTTTGACAGAGATCATAAAACCTTTGGACCATTTCGTGATGTGCGGTCAAATGTGTTAGCTCTAGAAAACATGTCATTCGCATTTGTATAAACCTAAGAATAGAAACAAAGTATATGAGAGATCAATTTTTTGTACATCAAGTTAAGAATGCTATTGCATCACTATACAGGTTATAATTCTAACTAGGCTAGCATTACAACATGTATCAACCACGTGTAGCATTCTTGATATTACTATACAAAAAGAAGGGGAAATATAAAAGAAATTGTGTGAAGGGATTTGTTATGAAAGACATGTGTGAAGACATTACATGATAATCATACATATCAGCTGGATGATCTAAAGCCCGAGAAGAACCATCACAGTTTGAGATAATTTGGATATCAGGATAAGCAGTTCTTATTGCATGATAGAATTTCAGGTAGTTTCCTGGCAGTCAAAGATGTAATATAGAAGGAAAAGGCATCAGATTACTCTGTTTCAATTAGAAATGGGAAAAAATATGAAATCCAGAACTATCCATTAGAATCTGTAATTATCATATATTAATAATAAATTCAACAGCAGCATTTGCCCCTCTTGGCATACATAAATAATACAGTGTCATTGTATGCTAACAATGAAAATGTTGCTTTTTCTTAGGACAGAATGAACAAGAAAAATATGCATACCACGATATTTCGGTTTTCCACAATCTTCATTCCCAACAGCAACATATCTTAGATCAAATGGCTCAGGGTGTCCCATAGCAGCTCTAAGAGAACCCCATTTTGAAGTGGGATCACCTCTTGCGAACTCAATTCCATCAAGGGCTTCCTACAATAAAAAAAAAATTCAAGACTCTTATCAACATACTTTTGAGTCAAGTTTCTTTAAAAAATAATGGAAAAAATACCTAATAAGAAGGGGAAAGGGAGTAGAAGAGTATGATAACATACTTGCACAAGAGGTAAAACCGCAGATGTATCAACTTCATCATTGTGGCTGACACCTAAACCAAAAATTCAATTAGAAAACAAAGAATTTTGTCCTTTCTCCTCGTTAGTAAGAAACTCAGTGGATGTTTGGTTTAACTATTTTGATGAAAATAATAGGTTATTTTTGGCAGCTTCGTGAGAGGGCTTTCGAAAAACTGTTATGAAAGCAATTCCAAACAAGCTTTTGGTTAACAGAGATAGACATAAAATTACCATTGTTAAATACCCATATTGGTAAAGCACCCAAGTCCTCCGCAAGCTGCTCAACAATAACAACAACAACAACAATAACATGGCATCATTTACTGCTGTAACAAAAAATGAAAGTAAATTCAACTATATAGGAACTTAATAATCCTTAATATATGAAAATCAGCACTTACTTGAAGAAACTCGAAATAGCCAAGTCCATCATCAGTCCAATACATCCAAACATCACCAAAGTGCCCAGGTCTCTCCTCCCATGGTCCAACAGTTGCCTTCCACCGAAATGCATTTCTTAACCATTCTCCTTCAACGAAACAGCCACCTAATGCAATGTAATGAAAAATAGCATTCCCAGATGTTACTTCTGTACAAACTTGAGTAAAATGGAATTCGACATTGTCAAATGATGCTTACTCACACTAGAATATGCACTAAAGAAAGTAAATAAAGAAACATTACAGTAGATATGTATCTCAAGATGAATCTTAAATGACTTTGTATCTAAAGATACATGAATGAATCTAAGGGATTCCATATCACTTATACAGTTCATATGCTTTTACCTTTTCACCCATTCTTGTGAAAAATAAAAAACTAAAAAGGTATGTGACCTTAAACTTATTCTATTCAATTATTCCATTTTTATTTATCACTCACTCATTCAATACATATACTCTTGTAGATTTTTATTAATTTTGTTTTTATTCTTCTAAAATAAAGATTTCACGAACTTATATATAACTAATAGTTTGATTTGTTCGACTTTCATTCAAGTTATTTTATCTTTCTAGTTTTAAATTGCTTACACTGAACACTGTATATCATCTACATGATACAGTTGAAGTAATTTTTCATTGTATCTAAATGATATGATTCCATACAAAATTATGATTGAAGATTCAAAAAATAACTCAATGGTTCATTATTTGAATCTCGATCTGAATAACCTATCACAATTACTGTATTTAATGTATCATATCTTATTGTCTTTTTCCATAGAATCTGGTTTGTTTGTTGTATCCTGTAAAAGAAAGAGCCCTTCACGCTAATGCATGTCAGTTTAGAAAAATGTTTATCTTCTAATGCCATCTAATAGAATTTTCACCTTCATGTTTTATTTCAGAGTTGAAAAACATATAAGCAAGTGTTAAAAATACATTGGGATAGTTAAAAATACGTTAACCTTTTCTTATTTGAGCAATTATAACCAAACAAATTCCGTTTCTGACTTTCCTCTTACTTTTCTAACCTTTCAATTAAGTACACCTCCATTCAAGTATACTCATTTTGGAGATAAAAACTAGAGAGCACATAACACAGAACAAAAGTAATGTTTAAATTGTTTCATGTGTGTAAGACAAATTCTATTCGAAATTTCTCAATCTGAACCACAGTATGCTTACCTGGAAATCTGATAAATTTGGGTTTCAAAGCTGACAGCATTTCAAAAAGTTCAGTTCGGAAACCATGTCCCTGCACCATAAGAAAAGGATACAAATTAATCACTTTAATATGTACACAACTCTTATGTTCTAAGATATAGTTAATCTACTAAAGCTAAATGGTTTCAGAATGTAACACAACCTTATATGTATCCACTGGCATAGCAGACACTTGGTCCAACCATATCACACCTTTGGTGGTTGTCGTTAATTGAAGTCTTGAGTTATGATCTGTTGCTTCGGCAACCAATAAAGTCTCCACCTTTGTCCAGTTTGAAAAATCATCAGCAGTATCCCTGAAAGATCAGTATCAATATCAGTATTAAAACTACAGCACGTAAAGTCTCTGTATCACATAGTCTCTGTAGTACAAAAAACTGGTGCTCACGTGATTGCAGATGAAGCCAGGTTCCCTATACCNATGTTGGGGGGTTTTATAGGAGAAATATACTCAAAATGAGGAATAAATGCTTCTGCAAATTCAGCGTTATGCCATTAACTATAACTATGAAAATACAACTGATTCTCAAATTCTTTAAAAATTACAGAAGATTGTCTTTAAAAATACAGCGTTATGCAAAAAAACGTGTTACCTTTATTCGTATATAATTTTTGTTATCTACAGAACTTTGAAATGTTATTGCTGATGCAAGGACTGAATTGGAGGAAGAATTCGATTGAAGTGATGAACTTAGAAGTGTTGCTCCACTTGACTCTGAGAAAAATAATTGCACCCAATAGCTAGGAGTTCCATAAGCCTGATAAGAGTTGAACACAATTGCATCTGGGTTCCACCTAATGACAGAAATACAGACAATCTTAGTTTTGCCATCAACGAAGAACAATTCTACATAATTTATTAATCACCTTAGCTTATGAATTGAAACAACTTCTTCTCAGAATATTTAGAGCAATGAAATCCTCTGAAAGCACCTTTTCTTTTCTAAATTTTTGTATACATTTAGGTGGAAAAAATTTGTTCTTAAAGCAATTGTTTAGCTGAACAAAAAAAGTTAGTAATCTGCTCAACCACCCTTTTATCAGTTTACAACCATGTCTCCTTGGAGAAATCAACAAACTTTTTTGTCTATTTTATGGTGGAATCTTTTCATAAACATCTTCTACTCAGAAAAGAACATACTGCACAGTAGGCTAGACAAAAGGGCAAACAAGATGAAAAGATAATAGAAATGTCCTGGTAAAATCATTAGAATAATTACCTCCTGTCATTGGCATTAACAAAAAGTGGAGCGTAGCTGACCATTTCGATAACATCACTGCACCAGAAAGTAAAAAATGAAAATGGTGAGTACTAACTATTAAGTGGACTGGATCAGAAACTCAGATTTCATAATGCTACAACCCAAGAATAGGAAAGGAAAAGAAAGATTTCAATGCTTTTCAGCTTTGGTTTGGGAAAAAGTGCAAGATTTCAAGTTTGACCGTTGTATAAAATAACATCATAAGATGTCTGAGTAAACCTGTTCTTTTCGAGTCCAATAAGGAACCCGGCTTCAGCTAGGGCTGCCAAAAGGCTTCCCGTTCCAGCATCTTTTCCAGTCACAGCATATTCACTTACAAAAGCCTGTAAAAGTGTCCAAAATAGATTGAGTACAAATGGAAATGCCAATAACTAATTAAAGAGAAGAGTTTGACAGAGATCATAAAACCTTTGGACCATTTCGTGATGTGCGGTCAAATGTGTTAGCTCTAGAAAACATGTCATTCGCATTTGTATAAACCTAAGAATAGAAACAAAGTATATGAGAGATCAATTTTTTGTACATCAAGTTAAGAATGCTATTGCATCACTATACAGGTTATAATTCTAACTAGGCTAGCATTACAACATGTATCAACCACGTGTAGCATTCTTGATATTACTATACAAAAAGAAGGGGAAATATAAAAGAAATTGTGTGAAGGGATTTGTTATGAAAGACATGTGTGAAGACATTACATGATAATCATACATATCAGCTGGATGATCTAAAGCCCGAGAAGAACCATCACAGTTTGAGATAATTTGGATATCAGGATAAGCAGTTCTTATTGCATGATAGAATTTCAGGTAGTTTCCTGGCAGTCAAAGATGTAATATAGAAGGAAAAGGCATCAGATTACTCTGTTTCAATTAGAAATGGGAAAAAATATGAAATCCAGAACTATCCATTAGAATCTGTAATTATCATATATTAATAATAAATTCAACAGCAGCATTTGCCCCTCTTGGCATACATAAATAATACAGTGTCATTGTATGCTAACAATGAAAATGTTGCTTTTTCTTAGGACAGAATGAACAAGAAAAATATGCATACCACGATATTTCGGTTTTCCACAATCTTCATTCCCAACAGCAACATATCTTAGATCAAATGGCTCAGGGTGTCCCATAGAAGCTCTAAGAGAACCCCATTTTGAAGTGGGATCACCTCTTGCGAACTCAATTCCATCAAGGGCTTCCTACAATAAAAAAAAAATTCAAGACTCTTATCAACATACTTTTGAGTCAAGTTTCTTTAAAAAATAATGGAAAAAATACCTAATAAGAAGGGGAAAGGGAGTAGAAGAGTATGATAACATACTTGCACAAGAGGTAAAACCGCAGATGTATCAACTTCATCATTGTGGCTGACACCTAAACCAAAAATTCAATTAGAAAACAAAGAATTTTGTCCTTTCTCCTCGTTAGTAAGAAACTCAGTGGATGTTTGGTTTAACTATTTTGATGAAAATAATAGGTTATTTTTGGCAGCTTCGTGAGAGGGCTTTCGAAAAACTGTTATGAAAGCAATTCCAAACAAGCATTTGGTTAACAGAGATAGACATAAAATTACCATTGTTAAATACCCATATTGGTAAAGCACCCAAGTCCTCCGCAAGCTGCTCAACAATAACAACAACAACAACAATAACATGGCATCATTTACTGCTGTAACAAAAAATGAAAGTAAATTCAACTATATAGGAACTTAATAATCCTTAATATATGAAAATCAGCACTTACTTGAAGAAACTCGAAATAGCCAAGTCCATCATCAGTCCAATACATCCAAACATCACCAAAGTGCCCAGGTCTCTCCTCCCATGGTCCAACAGTTGCCTTCCACCGAAATGCATTTCTTAACCATTCTCCTTCAACGAAACAGCCACCTAATGCAATGTAATGAAAAATAGCATTCCCAGATGTTACTTCTGTACAAACTTGAGTAAAATGGAATTCGACATTGTCAAATGATGCTTACTCACACTAGAATATGCACTAAAGAAAGTAAATAAAGAAACATTAAAGTAGATATGTATCTCAAGATGAATCTTAAATGACTTTGTATCTAAAGATACATGAAAGAATCTAAGGGATTCCATATCACTTATACAGTTCATATGCTTTTACCTTTTCACCCATTCTTGTGAAAAATAAAAAACTAAAAAGGTATGTGACCTTAAACTTATTCTATTCAATTATTCCATTTTTATTTATCACTCACTCATTCAATACATATACTCTTGTAGATTTTTATTAATTTTGTTTTTATTCTTCTAAAATAAAGATTTCACGAACTTATATATAACTAATAGTTTGATTTGTTCGACTTTCATTCAAGTTATTTTATCTTTCTAGTTTTAAATTGCTTACACTGAACACTGTATATCATCTACATGATACAGTTGAAGTAATTTTTCATTGTATCTAAATGATATGATTCCATACAAAATTATGATTGAAGATTCAAAAAATAACTCAATGGTTCATTATTTGAATCTCGATCTGAATAACCTATCACAATTACTGTATTTAATGTATCATATCTTATTGTCTTTTTCCATAGAATCTGGTTTGTTTGTTGTATCCTGTAAAAGAAAGAGCCCTTCACGCTAATGCATGTCAGTTTAGAAAAATGTTTATCTTCTAATGCCATCTAATAGAATTTTCACCTTCATGTTTTATTTCAGAGTTGAAAAACATATAAGCAAGTGTTAAAAATACATTGGGATAGTTAAAAATACGTTAACCTTTTCTTATTTGAGCAATTATAACCAAACAAATTCCGTTTCTGACTTTCCTCTTACTTTTCTAACCTTTCAATTAAGTACACCTCCATTCAAGTATACTCATTTTGGAGATAAAAACTAGAGAGCACATAACACAGAACAAAAGTAATGTTTAAATTGTTTCATGTGTGTAAGACAAATTCTATTCGAAATTTCTCAATCTGAACCACAGTATGCTTACCTGGAAATCTGATAAATTTGGGTTTCAAAGCTGACAGCATTTCAAAAAGTTCAGTTCGGAAACCATGTCCCTGCACCATAAGAAAAGGATACAAATTAATCACTTTAATATGTACACAACTCTTATGTTCTAAGATATAGTTAATCTACTAAAGCTAAATGGTTTCAGAATGTAACACAACCTTATATGTATCCACTGGCATAGCAGACACTTGGTCCAACCATATCACACCTTTGGTGGTTGTCGTTAATTGAAGTCTTGAGTTATGATCTGTTGCTTCGGCAACCAATAAAGTCTCCACCTTTGTCCAGTTTGAAAAATCATCAGCAGTATCCCTGAAAGATCAGTATCAATATCAGTATTAAAACTACAGCACGTAAAGTCTCTGTATCACATAGTCTCTGTAGTACAAAAAACTGGTGCTCACGTGATTGCAGATGAAGCCAGGTTCCCTATACCATTTGATCCTTTTAAGGAAACTGTTAGATTAAGTGATTCAGTTGAACGAACATAGAAGATCACTTTGTATTTCTTCCCTTGTTCAATATTCTGCAAGAAGATCAAAGTAGTAAATATTTTACTTGCAGTCTCAGACATGAAAAATACAAAAATGTCAATGAATGTAACAATATAAAGATATCACAGAATCTGCAATCAGCAATTGAAATTAAATAGCAGTTTAGACTTCAAGACTACAATTTTTATGTTGTTCAGTCTTTTGTTGTTTGTTTTCTATTCAGCAAATATTTGCACTTAGGATTCATGATCAATTTGACGCAAGTGTATCAATTAGCCTCTCACCATGCCCCAGAAACCAGGGTTATAAATACCAACACCTTCATCTGGGCAGATGTTGTCACCTTCACTGTCACATAACACCTCCAATCGAAGTGCAACCTTGTTACGGTCAAAGCAAGAGGTACGATCAGTTTCAACGATTATTGATGATTCATTTCCAATGATTGTCCAAGGATCAATATTAGAAGGAATGTTAGGGCCCCCAGCTTCAAATCCTAAAACAATAATTCATAATATTTAAGCTATAGTTTAAAATAGTGACTTAACTATAACAATACAACAAAGTAAACAGCAGATCCTCCATTTGTTCACATTTGAACATTGATAAAGTAGTATCATCTATAATATCTAAAACCCTCCTTTTCATCAAATATTAGGATTAGGATAAGAAGTTTGAGGCAACCACACATTAAAAAGTGCAAAAATAAAAGGAAATCAACAGAACGACAGCTGCAGATGGGTTGAAAATATCATTTAATAACAGTGAAAAGTTCATCAATTTTATGATGGATACCATAACTAAGGAAAGAAAAATCACAAACCTTTACATATGTTAAAGTGTATCCATTTTTAAAGTTTAGTCAGTTAAAATCATGATGCATTTTAAATCAAGGTTTATGTCATGAATTCTATGTTCTCATATTCTCTTTTATTTTGTTTCAGTTATTATCACGCTCCGTATCAAGTACAACTGATCGATGGAATACTGTGCTTGTGCATCTGAACATGTAACTTGCATGAAAATACCAGAAAAAGAAAAAAGAAAAAACCCTAGAGAAACCTTCTACTGCTGCTATTGTCATTACAAAGTGTGAAAATTATGAAAATGACCTCTGTTGCTGACAAGCTCAGCCCATAATCCCCCAGCTCCAGCATGATTGATCTCCTGAAGATGAAATTCAAGAATCTGGTCATTTTCTGATACTTTCACGTGAGGCATCATCAAATTGAACACAGAGTTTAAACTACAATCCCATAATCCTAACAATGTATGCAGTTTATTTGATTAATTATTTCATATCTTCATGCTTATCTCTTACAGATCATGCATTGCACATGTTCTATCTAGTCCATTTAAAAAGAACACTCATAATAGAAAGGCAGTGGAGCTAATAAATAACAACCAACGAGTGCTAGAAACCAGACCTCAAAGAATATACCAAAAAGTGTGTCTGGTATTGGCCTTCCAGTTGCATCAGAAGCATCTACTACTAGAGTTGTTCTCAGGTCAGTAGCAAAGCATGGGAAGACAAGGCAAAGCACTATGAACAATTGGAGCAGAGAAACATTGCATAAGGGCTTGAATGAACCCATTGTTCACAACATTCAATCTACCTGCAAACTAAGTAATGGAAACGAACATAAACTTAGATTATAAAGGACGAAAAGGGAATAAAAATGTCAAAACAATCAATATGTCAGGCCAAAAAAAAGAAGCACGTTTACTGTCACCACCGTTTGATCCTGCAATATGACAATAATAATAATAACAAAGAAAGAAAAAGAAATAATATTTCAATAACTGCATGGAATTGTTCCAGTCAACTTTATCCGGAAAATCCGAAATCTAGATGTTCTTTAAAGAATTTGGTTAATTTATCACAAACAACACAAAAATAAACAAAATAGGAATTTAATAAATGACAATAAAAAGTAAATCCTGAGCTCGAATTTGACGTTCTGAATGCAATTATTACCATGCCTCATGACAAATATTGTGTGAATTTAAATAATGTTCAAAAATCCAAAGAAATAAACAGTGAATTATTGCAGGTAGCTGCACCCATGCCATGTTTACTAATAATAGCAATAAAATAATGCATAGATTATGAAACAGGTGTCACCCTTAACACGATCAAGTTATAAGAAGAAAACAAAAAAAAAGACTATCATTAACAAGAAAAAGGGTCACTGATTCACTGATTGGAGAGCTAAAAACACTCACGATTATGCTTGATCGAAGCAGAAGGTAAAGTAGAATGTAAGGAGTTAAAGAAAAGGTGTCTGTTTGTGTGGAGTGGTTGGTCTGAATCTGCTGGTGTTTTACTTCTCTTTATAGAGAAAGATTTGATCAGTGAGAGTGAAGCGAAAGAGATGATGCAAAGATATTGAGTAGGTATTTTTGCCTTCGCTTCCACGGTTGAAAGAGGAACTGTGATGTCTTCAACACAGACATTTGTGGGTTGTAAATCGATTTGTTTTAAGATTTTCTTCTATTCGGTGTGCGGGACCCACCTCAGTGTGCCGTTCCAGCATCATTGCGTGGCGTAACCACATAACAGACAACCTCAATTTTTCTCACTTTTTGTTTTTTTTCTGTAGTTGATACATTTTTATCCTATCCTTTGCAGAAGAGTTTATCCACTCATAGAAACATGTCATTGTAGCAGTTCTTTTAATAAAAGTTAAATCATAAAAAGTAACATAAAATAATTATTAATAGTATAGTAATAATACATAACTTTCGTACACATATATATAATTACTTGTTTATTTTTTGTATAATATCGCGTCATAATCTCTAACTGAACTGAACAAGGTATGACAAAGCATTAGATATGCTTTAGATACATATATGGTTATAACTTGTCTCTGATTTCGGGTCTTACAACAAACTTTATTCTTACTTTTATAGTTTTAAAGCATTTTGTACTTTTGTGATTCACTTAAACTAGTTTCCTACTGGCGTAATTAATTAAGAAAATATTTATTAATATTAAAATAATTATATTTTATATTACAATGATTATATTATTTGTGTGATTTAATTAAATATTTTTTTATTTTAGATAATTTGTTTTAAAGTTTGAACATAGAACAATGGTTTTATTATAATTAATGTCTTCTTACTTTAATTCACTTATATACTTCGACGAAATAACTTTTAAAACATATAATTTAATATATTACTTTGATATTATTCGTTTAAAAAAATTAATAAATTATGGTAAAGTTATATTTAGCATGTGAAATGGTAATTTTATTTTCTATTTTTCAAATAAGTTAGTTTTCTCAATTTCATTTATCATTAAATAGTTGATATTATTATTATTATTATTATATTTGTAAGTCGTTAGTTTTTTTTACATAAATTTTAGGTTTAATTACAATTTAAACTTTTCACAAATTTTAAATATTTTTAGTTAAATTGTTACTAAAAAAATACTCTAAATTTTTGCATTTTGAGATTTGTTAGTTGGTACTATGAATTATGAATGTAAAGGCCTAAAAATGTAGGGTTATCAAGCCTTAGGTTAAGGTAGTCAGACCCGTAAAACTAAGGACATCATGACCTTAGAATGGACCTTTTAAAATCTGAGTTCATTAGCCAACTTTCCCTTCTCTTTCTAAAACTCTTATTTTTCCTAACCTTGCACCGCCTTCTCTCTACCATTCCCTCACATTCAGCCATTGCATGTTGGATTAGGTGGTGCTCAAGTGACCGCGGCGCAGTGAGCTTCGCAACCAACCGAATAGATTTTCGTTCTTCAGCGGGTAAGTAGCTCTTCACTGTTCTCCGCTGTTTGGGACTTAGGGCAAGTTGCATGTGCGTAGTGTACCCTTCTTTACGTTTTTCCTCTGCTCGTTCTAGCTCTAAGAGTTGTTTCTATCGCCACTTGGGTGATTTGTAGAGTGGGGTTGTGCCCTTGCTGTGTGAGGTGTTGTAGAGAACAGTACTATAAGTTGTGCTGTGGAGTTTTCCAGGTAAGGGGAGCTAGATATTGTTTTCAATTTGCTGGCAGTATTTGTATGTATGTTAAATTCCTTAATGGGTGTGTTGTTTGGTTTGCTTGTTTAAGCTCTAAAGTAAGTGGGTCATACATGTTGATGCGTGTGATGTATGAAATTGTAGCATGAGGTATGTAAACTGAATTGATTGAATATAGCTGCTATAATTAGGAGTGTTGAAAGTGCTTGGAGTGATAAATTTGTTATAGCTTGAATGAAATGGAAAGTTAAGTGAAATTATGGTGTTTTAGGGCAAATTGGGGGAAGTGAGGTAGTGATTTTGGACATTTGGGGCCTAAAGAGCAATTAGGATGTTGGGGCAGTCTTAGCTAGTATATTGTGACTTGTTTAAGTCACTAAATTGATCAAAATAGGTGCAAAGCAGTAGGATTGGGTTTTGGATCCCTAAGTTGGGAAAATTGGTGTTTTAGAATTGAAATTGAGTCTTAATCACTTTAGAATGGTAGTAGGAATGATTAAAATAATTTAGATAAGTTTAAAAAAATATAAAACAAGAATTAAGGGTGTTAGAAGTTAGTAAAAATGGTTAGGAATGGTTATGTTAGGTGTTGTTCATAATTCTGCAAAAATTCTGCAGAATTATGCAGTTTCGCCGAAAGTGAACTGATAACCGTTCGGCCATGCGCTGTTGAGCGTTTGGTCTCTTAGGTAGCGTTCAGTCTTAGGTAGCGTTCAGTCTCTTAAGTAGCGTTCGGTCTCTTAGGTAGCGTTCGGTCTCTTACGTAGCGTTCGGTCTTGATAGTGCTCGTTCTTAGGTAGCGTTCGGTCTTGATAGTGCTCAGTCTCAGGTAGCGTTTGGTCTCTTAGGTAGCGTTCGGTCTCTTAGATAGTGTTCGGTCTTGATAGTACTCGGTCTTAGGTAGCGTTCGGTCTCTCAAATAGCGTTCGGTCGTAGTAGCATTCGGTCTCTCTTAGTGGGCGGTCCTAAATAGTGTTCAGCCACTTCTTCAGTCTTAACTTTTATGGACCGTTCGGTCCTGTCCTTTGGGAAGTGAGATACCGTTCGGTCTCCACCATTCACAGGGTGTTCAGTCTTGCTCATTATGTGTTGATGTTTTCTGTTCGGCCTATATTCCTATTTATTCCAGTATGTTATTTTACTAAATTGTTCCGGTTGCTTTAAGGGCTTATGTGTGCATTATCATATTGGTGTTAAAGTGAAAAGTATCAGTATTGGACGTAATTCCATGATCCTCGAGGGGGGATACATGGTGGTGCCCTCAGTGTTTAGAATGATTTGCATGGTAGCTCAGTCTTGGGGGTTATCCTGAAACTACAATGGTCAATCATTCAAAGTAGAGAGGATTGAATCATGTCGTGAGTAGTAGCAAGAGGTCCTAGTCTTGGGTGCTTCCAGTATGGTCCAAGGTGAGTGATAACGGCCTAACCTCGTGAGTGTGGTAGGGTGAAACCCATTGGCAATGGCTTTGCAAAGTAGTAGAGGTCACCACGAGTGCATGAACCACCATAGCTCAACAATCATTCTAAGTCCGGACGAGTCAAGTTTAAGTGAAACAAGTCATGTGTGTGTAGTGTATTGTATCTGTCTTTGCTTGCATATTGCTTGTGACTGCTATAACATGATTTTTATATCTAGATCACCCTTGCTTGTGTATTTGTGTTTGCTTGGGTATGCTTTTCTTTTGTAATGATCATCCACTTGGATGTGAGCAGAGGCGGATGAGGTGCCTCTGGAGCAGGCTTTGGAGGAAGACGATGTTGCTGCTTAGTCTCCTTAGGATTCTCTTAATATTTCTTGTCTTTTGAATTACTGTTTAGTTGTTGAGGATTTTCCTGTGATTCCTATCCTTCTGAAATACTCTATTTGCGTTTAAGTTTTAAATTATGTCTCATTTTGGGATGACTGTAAGCTTAACTAAATTATTTACAGTCTACTCTAATTGTCCTCTTTTATATAAATGTGGACTCAATATATTATATGCTTCTATATAATCTGGGATGTTACAATAAATGTGGTTTTTAAGTTTTATTTTGCTCTATGATGATGAATTACATGTTTAATTGGTAAATAGAACTGTATGTATGAGCGTTTGATTTGGCAAGTTGTGTAATATACAAAATTCTTCGTGACTTGCTTTGGATTAGTGAAATATTGTGAAATTCTGTTGAGAATGCCTATTTGAGAGTGAATTGAGTAAGTTGAAATCACAAGAAAACACTAGAGGGGGTGAAGTGTTTTCAAAACTCTTTCGCAGAGTAGAATTTAGTGGATTCTCAAAAGATAGATTATTTAAATAAAATATTCAGACGTTGGTTTTTGTGAAGGGTGCATAAAGGAAAACAGTTTTAAGAAAGCAATAAGCATAGATTTTATACTAGTTCACTTAACCAAAGCTGCGTCTAAATCTCCTTTAAGAATTCTTAAGAGGTTCCCCTAATCTTTCAAAAGATTACATGAGTTTTTGAAGTACCTAAAAAACACTAGAAAGGGGTTAAATAGTGTTAATGGAAAACTTTTCGCAACCCTTCTGATATAGCAGGTTATTGAGTTGTTGAAATCTTCTTTTAAGTAATCGTAGGCTCGACTTAATAGTATTTTGCAATAACAACTTTTAGCGTGCTATTCAAAATATATATATTGTAGTGTTTTGTTAAGAACTTCCTTTATGAAATAAATTGTTTAGCTTGAAAGATTCTTGTGTTTGAAAATAAATCACGACTGCAGGTTTTTACAAGAGGATCATTTAGGTAAGAGAAGANATATTAGAAGGAATGTTAGGGCCCCCAGCTTCAAATCCTAAAACAATAATTCATAATATTTAAGCTATAGTTTAAAATAGTGACTTAACTATAACAATACAACAAAGTAAACAGCAGATCCTCCATTTGTTCACATTTGAACATTGATAAAGTAGTATCATCTATAATATCTAAAACCCTCCTTTTCATCAAATATTAGGATTAGGATAAGAAGTTTGAGGCAACCACACATTAAAAAGTGCAAAAATAAAAGGAAATCAACAGAACGACAGCTGCAGATGGGTTGAAAATATCATTTAATAACAGTGAAAAGTTCATCAATTTTATGATGGATACCATAACTAAGGAAAGAAAAATCACAAACCTTTACATATGTTAAAGTGTATCCATTTTTAAAGTTTAGTCAGTTAAAATCATGATGCATTTTAAATCAAGGTTTATGTCATGAATTCTATGTTCTCATATTCTCTTTTATTTTGTTTCAGTTATTATCACGCTCCGTATCAAGTACAACTGATCGATGGAATACTGTGCTTGTGCATCTGAACATGTAACTTGCATGAAAATACCAGAAAAAGAAAAAAGAAAAAACCCTAGAGAAACCTTCTACTGCTGCTATTGTCATTACAAAGTGTGAAAATTATGAAAATGACCTCTGTTGCTGACAAGCTCAGCCCATAATCCCCCAGCTCCAGCATGATTGATCTCCTGAAGATGAAATTCAAGAATCTGGTCATTTTCTGATACTTTCACGTGAGGCATCATCAAATTGAACACAGAGTTTAAACTACAATCCCATAATCCTAACAATGTATGCAGTTTATTTGATTAATTATTTCATATCTTCATGCTTATCTCTTACAGATCATGCATTGCACATGTTCTATCTAGTCCATTTAAAAAGAACACTCATAATAGAAAGGCAGTGGAGCTAATAAATAACAACCAACGAGTGCTAGAAACCAGACCTCAAAGAATATACCAAAAAGTGTGTCTGGTATTGGCCTTCCAGTTGCATCAGAAGCATCTACTACTAGAGTTGTTCTCAGGTCAGTAGCAAAGCATGGGAAGACAAGGCAAAGCACTATGAACAATTGGAGCAGAGAAACATTGCATAAGGGCTTGAATGAACCCATTGTTCACAACATTCAATCTACCTGCAAACTAAGTAATGGAAACGAACATAAACTTAGATTATAAAGGACGAAAAGGGAATAAAAATGTCAAAACAATCAATATGTCAGGCCAAAAAAAAGAAGCACGTTTACTGTCACCACCGTTTGATCCTGCAATATGACAATAATAATAATAACAAAGAAAGAAAAAGAAATAATATTTCAATAACTGCATGGAATTGTTCCAGTCAACTTTATCCGGAAAATCCGAAATCTAGATGTTCTTTAAAGAATTTGGTTAATTTATCACAAACAACACAAAAATAAACAAAATAGGAATTTAATAAATGACAATAAAAAGTAAATCCTGAGCTCGAATTTGACGTTCTGAATGCAATTATTACCATGCCTCATGACAAATATTGTGTGAATTTAAATAATGTTCAAAAATCCAAAGAAATAAACAGTGAATTATTGCAGGTAGCTGCACCCATGCCATGTTTACTAATAATAGCAATAAAATAATGCATAGATTATGAAACAGGTGTCACCCATAACACGATCAAGTTATAAGAAGAAAACAAAAAAAAAGACTATCATTAACAAGAAAAAGGGTCACTGATTCACTGATTGGAGAGCTAAAAACACTCACGATTATGCTTGATCGAAGCAGAAGGTAAAGTAGAATGTAAGGAGTTAAAGAAAAGGTGTCTGTTTGTGTGGAGTGGTTGGTCTGAATCTGCTGGTGTTTTACTTCTCTTTATAGAGAAAGATTTGATCAGTGAGAGTGAAGCGAAAGAGATGATGCAAAGATATTGAGTAGGTATTTTTGCCTTCGCTTCCACGGTTGAAAGAGGAACTGTGATGTCTTCAACACAGACATTTGTGGGTTGTAAATCGATTTGTTTTAAGATTTTCTTCTATTCGGTGTGCGGGACCCACCTCAGTGTGCCGTTCCAGCATCATTGCGTGGCGTAACCACATAACAGACAACCTCAATTTTTCTCACTTTTTGTTTTTTTTCTGTAGTTGATACATTTTTATCCTATCCTTTGCAGAAGAGTTTATCCACTCATAGAAACATGTCATTGTAGCAGTTCTTTTAATAAAAGTTAAATCATAAAAAGTAACATAAAATAATTATTAATAGTATAGTAATAATACATAACTTTCGTACACATATATATAATTACTTGTTTATTTTTTGTATAATATCGCGTCATAATCTCTAACTGAACTGAACAAGGTATGACAAAGCATTAGATATGCTTTAGATACATATATGGTTATAACTTGTCTCTGATTTCGGGTCTTACAACAAACTTTATTCTTACTTTTATAGTTTTAAAGCATTTTGTACTTTTGTGATTCACTTAAACTAGTTTCCTACTGGCGTAATTAATTAAGAAAATATTTATTAATATTAAAATAATTATATTTTATATTACAATGATTATATTATTTGTGTGATTTAATTAAATATTTTTTTATTTTAGATAATTTGTTTTAAAGTTTGAACATAGAACAATGGTTTTATTATAATTAATGTCTTCTTACTTTAATTCACTTATATACTTCGACGAAATAACTTTTAAAACATATAATTTAATATATTACTTTGATATTATTCGTTTAAAAAAATTAATAAATTATGGTAAAGTTATATTTAGCATGTGAAATGGTAATTTTATTTTCTATTTTTCAAATAAGTTAGTTTTCTCAATTTCATTTATCATTAAATAGTTGATATTATTATTATTATTATTATATTTGTAAGTCGTTAGTTTTTTTTACATAAATTTTAGGTTTAATTACAATTTAAACTTTTCACAAATTTTAAATATTTTTAGTTAAATTGTTACTAAAAAAATACTCTAAATTTTTGCATTTTGAGATTTGTTAGTTGGTACTATGAATTATGAATGTAAAGGCCTAAAAATGTAGGGTTATCAAGCCTTAGGTTAAGGTAGTCAGACCCGTAAAACTAAGGACATCATGACCTTAGAATGGACCTTTTAAAATCTGAGTTCATTAGCCAACTTTCCCTTCTCTTTCTAAAACTCTTATTTTTCCTAACCTTGCACCGCCTTCTCTCTACCATTCCCTCACATTCAGCCATTGCATGTTGGATTAGGTGGTGCTCAAGTGACCGCGGCGCAGTGAGCTTCGCAACCAACCGAATAGATTTTCGTTCTTCAGCGGGTAAGTAGCTCTTCACTGTTCTCCGCTGTTTGGGACTTAGGGCAAGTTGCATGTGCGTAGTGTACCCTTCTTTACGTTTTTCCTCTGCTCGTTCTAGCTCTAAGAGTTGTTTCTATCGCCACTTGGGTGATTTGTAGAGTGGGGTTGTGCCCTTGCTGTGTGAGGTGTTGTAGAGAACAGTACTATAAGTTGTGCTGTGGAGTTTTCCAGGTAAGGGGAGCTAGATATTGTTTTCAATTTGCTGGCAGTATTTGTATGTATGTTAAATTCCTTAATGGGTGTGTTGTTTGGTTTGCTTGTTTAAGCTCTAAAGTAAGTGGGTCATACATGTTGATGCGTGTGATGTATGAAATTGTAGCGTGAGGTTTGTAAACTGAATTGATTGAATCTAGCTGCTGTAATTGGGTGTGTTGAAAGTGCTTGGAGTGATAAATTTGTTATAGCTTGAATGAAATGGAAAGTTAAGTGAAATTATGGTGTTTTAGGGCAAATTGGGGGAAGTGAGGTAGTGATTTTGGACATTTGGGGCCTAAAGCGCAATTAGGATGTTGGGGCAGTCTTAGCTAGTTTATTGTGACTTGTTTGAGTCACTAAATTGATCAAAATAGGTGCAAAGCAGTAGGATTGGGTTTTGGATCCCTAAGTTGGGAAAATTGGTGTTTTAGAATTGAAATTGAGTCTTAATCACTTTAGAATGGTAGTAGGAATGTTTAGAATCATTTAGATAAGTTTAATTAAATATAAAACAAGAATTAAGGGTGTTAGAAGTTAGTAAAAATGGTTAGGAATGGTTATGTTAGGTGTTGTTCATAATTCTGCAAAAATTCTGCAGAATTATGCAGTTTCGCCGAAAGTGAACTGATAACCGTTCGGCCATGCGCTGTTGAGCGTTTGGTCTCTTAGGTAGCGTTCAGTCTTAGGTAGCGTTCAGTCTCTTAAGTAGCGTTCGGTCTCTTACGTAGCGTTCGGTCTTGATAGTGCTCGTTCTTAGGTAGCGTTCGGTCTTGATAGTGCTCAGTCTCAGGTAGCGTTTGGTCTCTTAGGTAGCGTTCGGTCTCTTAGATAGTGTTCGGTCTTGATAGTACTCGGTCTTAGGTAGCGTTCGGTCTCTCAAATAGCGTTCGGTCGTAGTAGCATTCGGTCTCTCTTAGTGGGCGGTCCTAAATAGTGTTCAGCCACTTCTTCAGTCTTACCTTTTATGGACCGTTCGGTCCTGTCCTTTGGGAAGTGAGATACCGTTCGGTCTCCACCATTCACAGGGTGTTCAGTCTTGCTCATTATGTGTTGATGTTTTCTGTTCGGCCTATATTCCTATTTATTCCAGTATGTTATTTTACTAAATTGTTCCGGTTGCTTTAAGGGCTTATGTGTGCATTATCATATTGGTGTTAAAGTGAAAAGTATCAGTATTGGACGTAATTCCATGATCCTCGAGGGGGGATACATGGTGGTGCCCTCAGTGTTTAGAATGATTTGCATGGTAGCTCAGTCTTGGGGGTTATCCTGAAACTACAATGGTCAATCATTCAAAGTAGAGAGGATTGAATCATGTCGTGAGTAGTAGCAAGAGGTCCTAGTCTTGGGTGCTTCCAGTATGGTCCAAGGTGAGTGATAACGGCCTAACCTCGTGAGTGTGGTAGGGTGAAACCCATTGGCAATGGCTTTGCAAAGTAGTAGAGGTCACCACGAGTGCATGAACCACCATAGCTCAACAATCATTCTAAGTCCGGACGAGTCAAGTTTAAGTGAAACAAGTCATGTGTGTGTAGTGTATTGTATCTGTCTTTGCTTGCATATTGCTTGTGACTGCTATAACATGATTTTTATATCTAGCTCACCCTTGCTTGTGTGTTTGTGTTTGCTTGGGTATGCTTTTCTTTTGTAATGATCATCCACTTGGATGTGAGCAGAGGCGGATGAGGTGCCTCTGGAGCAGGCTTTGGAGGAAGACGATGTTGCTGCTTAGTCTCCTTAGGATTCTCTTAATATTTCTTGTCTTTTGAATTACTGTTTAGTTGTTGAGGATTTTCCTGTGATTCCTATCCTTCTGAAATACTCTATTTGCGTTTAAGTTTTAAATTATGTCTCATTTTGGGATGACTGTAAGCTTAACTATATTATTTACAGTCTACTCTAATTGTCCTCTTTTATATAAATGTGGACTCAATATATTATATGCTTCTATATAATCTGGGATGTTACAATAAATGTGGTTTTTAAGTTTTATTTTGCTCTATGATGATGAATTACATGTTTAATTGGTAAATAGAACTGTATGTATGAGCGTTTGATTTGGCAAGTTGTGTAATATACAAAATTCTTCGTGACTTGCTTTGGATTAGTGAAATATTGTGAAATTCTGTTGAGAATGCCTATTTGAGAGTGAATTGAGTAAGTTGAAATCACAAGAAAACACTAGAGGGGGTGAAGTGTTTTCAAAACTCTTTCGCAGAGTAGAATTTAGTGGATTCTCAAAAGATAGATTATTTAAATAAAATATTCAGACGTTGGTTTTTGTGAAGGGTGCATAAAGGAAAACAGTTTTAAGAAAGCAATAAGCATAGATTTTATACTAGTTCACTTAACCAAAGCTGCGTCTAAATCTCCTTTAAGAATTCTTAAGAGGTTCCCCTAATCTTTCAAAAGATTACATGAGTTTTTGAAGTACCTAAAAAACACTAGAAAGGGGTTAAATAGTGTTAATGGAAAACTTTTCGCAACCCTTCTGATATAGCAGGTTATTGAGTTGTTGAAATCTTCTTTTAAGTAATCGTAGGCTCGACTTAATAGTATTTTGCAATAACAACTTTTAGCGTGCTATTCAAAATATATATATTGTAGTGTTTTGTTAAGAACTTCCTTTATGAAATAAATTGTTTAGCTTGAAAGATTCTTGTGTTTGAAAATAAATCACGACTGCAGGTTTTTACAAGAGGATCATTTAGGTAAGAGAAGAGATAATTACACAAGATATTTTATACTGGTTCGCTCCAACTGAGCTACGTCCAGTCTCCTCCGCATAAGGTTTCACTATAACCTTCAAACAATTACAAATGAGTATTAGCAATACTCCTTGTACTCAGCTACCTCGCCGAGATTTCCTTTTAGTATTAGCACCACTCCTAGTACTCAACACCTTGTCGAGATTTCCTTTGAATATTCGAACCACTTTTAGTACTCAACAACCCGCCAAGATTTCCTTTGAGTATTCTCACCACTCTTGGTACTTAGCAACCTTGCTAAGATTCCTCAACTCAATTGATTTCAGTTGTGAGTGTTTTAATTCTCTTCAGAATTGTAATCAACAATTGTTTACAAGTAGTTCAAACTATAACTCTCACTGAGAGGATTTGAATACAATACAAAGTAGTATAAACACTCACAAGTATTCCTCTCTTCTTTCTTACAATAGTAAGCAATATGACAATGAAGCTTAAGAGTATCTCTTTTTCTCTTCTCTTCTCTTTTCTTCAACTTAGATGTATTATTTTTCTTAAGATATTCTCTTAAGTTATCCTCTGGATTTTCTTCTTGAGAGATCTTCTATTTATAGGCTTTATGGATATTTGTCTGTTAGACTGAGTTTGTAGTTAATAGCCTTGATACTTTTGTTTTCTCTTTCTTCTTTTCACAGCACTCGTTGGGTAAGTCAACTTTTTCAGAGCAAGCATGTTTTTTCAGTCCTCTGCTTGAAG